AAAATTTATTAGATTTTCATCATTTACATCACAGCAATGTAATTTTGATAACCATTTCAGTTTGTATTTATTTTTCATACAAATTTTAATTTTATGTCGTTCTTTCGTCCATTTAACCATCAACCGACACAAAGCCATGATTCGTAAATTAAATCAATCCGTGCAAACTTTAACAGCATGCAGTGTGATTGTGTGATCACTAAATCGCATAAATCTCTTATTATAAGACCAACGCAATAATAACTAAACATATCTTCATATCATGTATGTATTACTACGTAGATATATTTAGCTCTTTGGAAAATGTGGTGGCCCTTAAAAGGGCCGTTGGGTTATAAGATGTTGATAAGGTGGGCTTGATGAAGGGACGAGATCAGTTTAACCGCCGAATCCGTAGAGGGTGCGGCCTTGTCGCTTGAGGGCATAGACGACGTCCATGGCGGTGACCGTCTTCCTCTTGGCATGCTCAGTGTAGGTGACAGCGTCTCGGATGACGTTTTCAAGAAAGACCTTGAGGACTCCACGGGTCTCTTCGTAGATAAGGCCAGAGATTCGCTTGACACCTCCACGACGAGCGAGACGACGGATGGCAGGCTTGGTGATTCCTTGGATGTTATCACGCAGGACTTTACGATGTCTCTTGGCGCCCCCTTTGCCGAGTCCCTTTCCTCCCTTTCCACGACCAGTCATTTTGAATTACTTGAGTGAGAAGTAGATTGAACTTATGAAAGTTACAAAGTTGACGAGTGATACAAACTGACTGAAATGAGATTGATTATATACACCTCGAGAGCGGACGTTGGTGAACCGGGTAGACTTTCCTCCTCTCTCTCCCCTCCACTCGAGTTCCCTCGCAAGTGAGAACTCAGGAAGTTTCTCGGCAACTCAACCCAAAATTTTCCCTCCATTCTCCACATATCTTGTACGGATTGCTGTTCCATGCATTCTCCACAACTCTGTTGAGTTCTCCGCAACTCAGCTCACAACTCAGCCTCCTCATATAAAAGCTTCGTCGTGTCTCCGTCCCATCATCATTCTACTTTCTGAATTCACCAAAAGAAGATCTCAAACTATAACTTTGCAAGATGCCACCAAAAACCGGAGGAAAAGCTGCGGGGAAGAAGGCCGTGTCCAAGTCCAAGAACTTACCAAAGGGGGACGGGAAGAAGCGACACCGCAAGAGGAAGGAGTCCTACGCCGTGTACATCTACAAGGTCCTCAAGCAGGTCCACCCCGACACTGGCGTCTCCTCCAAGGCCATGTCCATCATGAACTCTTTCGTCAACGACATTTTCGAGCGGATCGCCTCCGAGTCCTCCCGCCTGGCCCATTACAACAAGAGGTCGACCATCACCTCTCGGGAAATCCAGACGGCCGTCCGACTCCTCCTCCCAGGAGAACTCGCCAAGCACGCCGTGTCTGAGGGCACCAAGGCTGTCACCAAATATACCTCTTCCAAGTAGATGACTGACCCACAACTTCCACAAAAAAATACCCAACGGCCCTTTTAAGGGCCACCACTTTTTCCAAAGAGCTAAAAAATGATACTCGCATCTATAATCGCATGTATTTTCATTTTCGTCGATTTATTTATTCATTGTTGAACTGACTCACGTCGATGTCATTCACATACAAAATTGAGATCATGTTGTAACACTGCTAAACACTAAAATGCAGTCGAATTGGATTATTATGATTATGCAATCACTTTATTATTCAACTGCTAAAATTGAGGCAGAGTGAGATTGCATTTTGACTCGATTACTGTCTAAATAAGCTGAAAATATATAATTCTTCATCCGTTCCGTTAACCAATTTAACATTATAATTTTATCAACGTTTCAATTTTTGTCTGCTACCCAATGAACACAAATATTTATATGAAATTTTGACGAGAGCCTGCGCAGACAACACCCATGAATTTGCATGAATTGGTAGAATGCTAAAAATCCTGTATAAAACATGAACGAGTACTATGAAGGAGCGTATTATTATTTTTAAATAAAAAAATAACTTATACGATAGTAAATATTTACTATCGTATAAAGGAGGAGGATGAAATTACTGATTTCATTTGTAACAGTAAATGCTCTGGAAATGAACAAGGAAAAATAATGACCGTTTCATCTTTTTGTGCATCATTAGTACTAATTGCGTTATTTTGTTGCCAATAATTTCTAAAAAATGAAACTTGACTTTGATGATGCCAAGTTGAGCATGATGAACGAATAAAGCGCATGGTCATAATTATGCATTTTTTGAGCTCTTTGGATAATGTGGTGGCCCTTAAAAGGGCCGTTGGGTTTTGAGCGTGTAGATTTGTGATTAGGCGGACTTCTTTTCCGTCTTCTTGGGGAGAAGGACGGCTTGGATGTTGGGAAGGACACCTCCTTGAGCGATGGTGACCCCGGAGAGCAGCTTGTTCAACTCTTCGTCATTTCGGATGGCGAGTTGGAGGTGACGGGGGATGATCCTGGTCTTTTTGTTGTCTCGGGCAGCGTTTCCAGCCAACTCGAGGACTTCAGCGGCCAAGTACTCCATAACGGCAGCCAAGTAGACGGGGGCACCCGCACCCACTCGCTCGGCGTAGTTCCCCTTCCTCAAAAGACGATGGATACGACCCACTGGGAACTGGAGCCCTGCACGGCTGGATCGAGACTTTGCCTTTCCCTTCACCTTTCCTCCCTTGCCACGGCCAGACATGATGATGAGTTGGTTGTTGTTGAAACTTGGAGAGAGAGAGATGTTCTCGGAGTGAGATATCAGCAGCTTGTGATGGACTTTGTTGGAATCGAGCTTGAATTTATACCATCTGGCTGAGTTGCGGAGCAGACCTCTTGAGTTCTGAGGAGCGAGCGGGCTTTCACTGCTTACTAACAGTCAATCCTCTTTCTCGCTCAGAACTCAGCCCTTCTCTATAAAACCTGCAACACGTAATGAAACAGTCATCACTCGCTGTCTCACCTTTCTCTTGAGAACAACTCAATCTACAAACCAAGAATAACAATGGCTCGTACGAAGCAAACGGCTCGTAAATCTACTGGAGGGAAAGCCCCCCGCAAGCAGCTCGCCACCAAGGCTGCCAGGAAGAGCGCCCCTGCGACCGGAGGTGTCAAGAAACCCCATCGTTACAGGCCCGGAACCGTCGCCCTCCGAGAAATCCGTCGTTACCAGAAGAGCACGGAACTTCTCATCCGCAAGCTCCCCTTCCAACGACTCGTGAGAGAAATCGCCCAGGATTTCAAGACGGATCTCCGATTCCAATCCTCTGCTGTCATGGCTTTGCAGGAGGCGTCCGAGGCCTACTTGGTTGGTCTCTTTGAGGACACCAACTTGTGCGCCATCCACGCCAAGCGAGTCACCATCATGCCCAAGGACATCCAACTTGCTCGCCGAATCCGTGGAGAACGTGCCTAAACAGTCGTCACACAAAATAAACACCACAACCCAACGGCCCTTTTAAGGGCCACCAATTTCTCCAAAGAGCGTTGGTGTAGACATGATGATATTCAATTATTCAGAACAGCCAAAATTATTAATGAATTTTTTCTTCATGAAAATTTCAGTTACTGAACGAAGGGTAACTAATGTCATGCATGATATGCGTTGAAGAAAACATGCAAACATCATGAATGTTATGTGAAATTATGCGACGGCGGATGAATTTCAATGAATATGCATTGCAGCTGCTTAAAGTATGCGAAACTAGTATGTATTAACGAACTGCATAGTGCATAGTACTGCAGGTGATATAGAGGGTGTTCCGAAAGTAATGCAACTTTGGTAAAATGCATATATCCAAGGGTATCAATTTGCCCCAAATTCGAAATAGGGTGAATATTGTAGTCCATACGTTTATCTAGTAGAATCCGAAAACCAGAAGTGATATCTCTATCCGTTCCAAAATAAGGTCAAATACCACCGAGCAACTCGCAACCATCGTCTGCCACTATAACGAAAAAGTGGTTACGCGCTCCAAGAAATTGAGCTGTGTTCACTATAAAAAAGAACAAATTTCAAAAGTGACAATTTGCTGTGTACTACTAAGGTATGAGCTGCAAAAAACTACTAATCGCAAAAAAATATCTGGTCGGCCCATTCGTGTGGCAGCCCCGAAAGTAATAAACTTCGTGAAAACAGAAATTTGCAATGTCGGAGCGAAATTCGCTGAAGTACTTGAAGTTGTCACCTAACACCATACATTATTTTAAAGCTTAGAAGTTGGACATCAAATCCTAGAAGGTTATATAAGCTTATAAATATAGTGAAGAGTAAAATAAAAGTAGCAAGCAGGAGGCCAGAAAAAATCCTTGACCTGAAGTAATCAAAATTAATCAAAATTGATCGTCCTGTACAAGACGATTTACTGCTCAGATTATCAGAATGCTTTTATTTGCACATAGTACAACTCTCCCACCTTCAAGAAAACCATTTATGCAAAACTGGGAAATAAATCTAAGCCAAAGTATCCCGTTCCGCCTTAAAACGGATCAAATGCAATTAACATGGGAGAGGTGAACAACGTTCCCAAATTTGTCAAATACAAGACCTATTGAACAATTTTAGTTTTTATCCAAGAAAGAATATTGTAATCGAAAAACTTCAGTCAAAAATTTGAACTTATTTCACCACATGTTGTCAAAAATCCCAAAAAAGGTAACCAGAAACAGTGGCGAAGCACGAATGGGAAGCACCCGACAAAAGCTTCCCCAAATTGGGCGGGAGGAGATGTATGGACCATTCGAAACAAAAAGTAATTAGCTTTAACCTTTGTATATTTCTGACCAAAATTTCGCCTAAACTAATGCATTGCTTCAGTTTATATGTGCATTTGACCAAAGTTGCATTACTTCCGGAACACCCTCTACGCTATGCACTACTCATTCAATAGTTTCACATCCACAAGTCAACGGTGTTTGAAGTGACTTCATGATCTGGTTTCATTTAACAAATTTATTCCGAATATGTGCTACGACTGCTCTCAGGATAATTTGGTGGCCCTTAAAAGGGCCGTTGGGTTATGAAAGAAAGTATAGAAAAGTTGACGAAGAAGAAATACAATGGACGTATTTACTTCTTTTTGGGCGCTGCTTTCTTGGAAGCAACCTTTGGTTTTGCTTGAGCCTTGACCTTCATGGTCTTCGGCTTCTTGGGGGTGGCTGCCTTTTTCGCCGCTGGCTTAGTCTTCTTGGGAGACTTTGGAGTTTTGGCAACTTTCACCTTCTTCGGTGCTGCTGGTTTCTTAGGTGCCTTTGTTTTTGGAGACCCCGCTACTTTCTTCTTTTTGGGGGAGGCAGTTTTCTTGGGGTTTTTGGTGTTTTTTTTCGGTGACTTGGCCTTCTTCTCTCCGGCTGCAGCAGTCTTCTTAACAGCCAACTTGAAGGACCCACTCGCACCGGACCCCTTGGTCTGGGTTAATTTACCAGCCTCCACCTGCTTCTTCAGAGCCTTTCGGATGAAGGGAGCCAATTTTTCGACGTCCACGGTGTAAAATCCACCAATGAATTTTTTTATGGCGGCGAGGGAAGACCCTTTCTTCTCGTTCAGCTTGCTCACGGCTTCCACTACCATGACATTCGCTGGGGGATGAGAAGCCAGTTTGACCTTCTTGACCTTCTTTACAACCGGAGTTGCAGCAACTGGAGCAGCGGCAGCAGACATCGTTGCAATTCGAGTGTGAATTTACTTTGATGATTTTAGCTTGGGAAAGTTGAGACAACTTGGATGACGTTAGAAACAGTTATGTAATGAGCGAGGTTTTTACTGGGGAAGGTGGAGAAGGGTCGGACGTTATGGGGCAGGGTTAAAGGCAGCTGCAGGCAATTACGCTGGTTCGCTCCATCATGGTCCGTTGGTGCATTTTATTCTGTTTCCCCTCCTAAAGTTGTCGTTATTCATTTCCTGTTTCATTCCTTCATATCTGGGAAAGACGTGGGAAAAGCTCATACTTTCCTCCAATCGTATCACTTCCCTCCTCAAATGATTTGATTTCCCTGCTTTCTACGTTAATTTATATTTGCAATGTGTTATACATTATTTTGTCTAACAAAGGAAATTAGACAAAATAATGTCTAACAAACAAGGGAAACAGAATTAGCATTCTATTCGTATTGGCTAGTGATAAAGTTATGCATTGATGAACTGTATCTGTCTAAACATGAAACCTGGTTTACTTCCACACCTATGTACAAAGTGTAAAGGTGAAGGTTGCTTAAAAAATTAAATGCCACATTAATTCATGACTGATGAAACTTTCTGAACTGTTTGTCTGTCTCTGTTTTGTGTACTACTCCTTCTTATTGATATGAACTTCGGTTTCTAGATATAGATATTACAGAATAGATATCAAAAGCTATAGTGTGACAAAATTTCACCCTGTAAATCATGACCTCCAACATCAGTAGAGAGGTCGTCAAATTTTGAGTATCACACACAATCACAATTTCTCAGATGGACGTCTTTGTAAGAAGGAAAACTCTATTTCGAATGGTACAACTTGGTGTCGCTACGTTCTTGCATCTGTTTACGAATAGAGTTTCTTGTGCTATTATGCGTGCGAGATACTTCACTCAAATCTGGAAAATATTAAGCCTGATATTAATGCAGACTCACACTTCGAGATTCACAATGTTTCGCTGTTTCATGCAATGCTTCGCTCAAAAAGCATCTCCACCAAGATTAACGCCAATAAGTGCCAATTAAAACAACCACAACTTGAAATAAGTGGCTCAATCGAATTTACATGAAATATAGCATAGCCACACACACACGGATACACACACTACTTGCACTGTGCTAATAAATCCGTACATATTCGCATTGTAGAATAATCAGCTCTTTCTCTCAACAGTTCTCCCGAAAGTGAGAATGGCCAATTGGACAGTAATGAATTTATTGTTGTTTGCACTTGTTGCAATTCCTTTGTGTACAAAAATAGCCTGTTTGGAGGAAGCGTTGGCAAAAAACTTCCTCCTCAAATTGGAGACCGAAGTGCGCCCAGTGTGCCATCAACGAGCTCTCAGCGAATGGAACTTTCACACCAATCTCACTGACTCCAACCGCAAGAAATCCGTAAAAGGTTCATGTTTATAAGACAATTGTATAAATAACTAATTTACACAAAAAATAGCTGGAGTCATCCATTGAGTATTCCAAGTTTTGGAGGAGAATGTGGGAGGAGGCGTCTCATTTTGATTGGAGATCTTTTAAAGATCCAGATACACGGAGGCAATTTAGCATGATGACAACTTTGGGGGTTGCCATTCTTCCGGACGATCTCCTCAAACGAGTGGGTGCTGATCACGTTAACTGAATATACATATGCAGAAATATGATGCGGTTCAACTGTTATAATTGCGAAACTTTGTTGTTTGTTGCATTTAGTACAATATGCTAAAACAGAATATGGAGAGCGAGTATGGAAAGGCAACTGTTTGTGATTTCTATAATCAGTCAAAATGTGACTTGGCCTTAGAACCTGGTACTCTAAATTTGTTAAGACTCTATCTGGGATGTTCACCACCAAATGACGTAATGTTTCAGATATTACCGAAATCTTTCTTACCTCTCGAAACCCAGCGGAATTGAAGTTTATTTGGCTTCAATGGAGGAATGTGACTGGGGCAGCTTTCAAACAAAATTATACTGACTTTATATCTCTAATGCAGACAGTGGCTCAGATGAATAGTAAGGAAATTGCGAAGTTTGGTAGTTTGGTTCAAGAAACTAATTTTAGTCCTCTTACATGCAATCATTTATAATTTTGCGTAGACTTTTCATCCCCGACAGAGTACGAGTTAAGGTCATACGAAACAGAGGAGTTGACGATTCGCGATTTTCGTGAGCAAATTGACTCTTTATGGAGTACGTTGAGCCCATTCTACAAAGAATTGCACGCGTACGTCCGCTTTAAACTCCGGAACTTTTATGGGGATGAAGTTTTCCAAGAAAGTGAAGGGCGAATTCCTTCTCATCTACTGGGTAAGGAAATGGTAAACTATATATTACAGACTTATGTAAATTACAAACAACCATGTGCATGTATGTAAAATGTACATAATATGTACATACATATTATTTACCTACAAAGTATTATGTAGGTAAATAATAACGGCTAATTATACACGAGGATTTCTTAGAAATTGTTTGCCATATTCCATAGGAAATATGTGGGCGGAAACGTGGGAAAGTATTGAAGACATTGTTTTGCCATTTACCAATAAGCAGAGTTTTAACATCACCCAAAGGATGCAGGAATTGAAAATGACCCCGATCGATATGGCCAAATTAGGAGAAACTTTTTTTGTGTCGTTGGGCCTTCCAAAGCTAAACGAACTATTTTGGAAAAACTCAATATTTGAAAAACCCCCGGATAGTGACTTAAAAATGATTTGTCATCCGTCTGCGTGGGACCTCTGCGATCAACAAGATTTCAGGTATGCATTCTACAATATGTATGTGTAAATCTTCACTTCGCACGTGAGAATCGTAAGCAGTATGGGAACGCATCGTGACTAACAAAACCCAGTGCATATTGCTGAACATTTTTTTGTTTGTGATCTCGAACTCAAGAGTTGAGTCAGGTCAGAATTTAAATTCGATATGTTCATAAAAGCACATATAACAATGTTATTTTTTACCTGGAACTCCTCATGATCCCCGAATTATTATGAATATGCTCCTTTAGGATTTAAGAGATGCAAAATTTTTCCTTCCTCATAAAACCTTCTATTATAATCATTTTTCTGATTTACTTATTGTTTCAGAATCAAACAATGCACAACGATTAGCGAGACGGATTTACTTACTTTGCATCATGAACTGGGCCACATATATTACCAAATGAGTTACAATCAGTTACCGAAAATTTACAGGGGTATAATTTGAAGAGAGGATTTATTATTTTATTTCTATTTATATCAATTAAATTAAACATTAAAATATTTCAAAAAGAGATTCATGCTTGGACGAAAATTACAATCTTAATAGATCATTTGTGTTTGGTAAAGATGGTGCAAATCCTGGATTCCATGAAGCGATTGGAGACCTAATTGCGTTGTCTGTCCAAACCATGACACACATGGAATCGATTGGTTTAATTCAGCATTTCGAGTACGATAAAGAGACAGAAATAAATTACCTATTGCGGATTGCACTTACAAAAATAGCATTTCTCCCGTATGGCTACATTTTGGATAAATGGAAATGGGAAGTAGCCTACGCCAAGAGTCCGGATATGAAGAAATCCTTAAATTGCAAGTGGTGGGAGTTGAGGGAGGAGTTTCAGGGCGTTGGCAAACCGCACAATATAAATTATGGAGAAGAATTTCTAGATCCAGCCTCGAAATATCATGTCATATCAAATGTGCCGTACGTGAGGTAATAACCTATTAGCCTATTACACCATTGTTACAGGAATATGAAGTAAGGAGTGAGTGACGAAATACATTAAACTTTATTTTTTCAGGTACTTTATATCAATGATCCTTCAATTCCAACTCCACGAATCTTTATGCAAAGAAGCGAAGAACACGAAGCCTCTCCATTTATGTGACATTTACAACAGTAAACGAGCTGGATTAAAGTTGAAGTATGCAGGGTTCATTTACATCACCACAAATATCGTGTTTATGATTCGCAAATTACGAATTAGTTACTCATGGCTATTTTACATTCAGGAAACTACTATCTCTCGGAGCCTCTAAGCCATGGCCTGTCGTGCTGGCGACGGTTACCGATACTCAAAAGTTATCTTCGAAATCAATCCTCAAATATTTCGAACCTCTGTACAAATGGTTGAAAGAGGAGAACGTGAGAAATAACCAAACTCCAGGATGGAGAACTACCACAACATGCAATGATCGCCCACTTACAAAAATCAAGTCGTCCAAAGGTTATTTAACTAGATGTTGTAATGCCTTAAACTATTGCCTTTTAACTATTTTTGTAGTAACATATCCTTTGTGGCAAATATACTTGAAACTATAATAGCAATTTTTAATTAAGTATAACTTCATTAAACTTATTTAAATACTTTGTATGGATGATTATCTATGCAAAGTTTCACGAATTAACACATTTTGCAATATGGACTATCGTACTGAAACTAATATTGTTACACGAGTGCGAGGTCTCCTCCTCGCTAAATCTGCTGTCCTGGGTTTTGCTGGGTGACATTGGCACACTATTTGTGACAATAAAGCATGAAGATTCCATGCTTTGGGACCCATTCACTTGTAGTATAGGTCATTATGGAATAAATGATCGTAGGATATTTTCGCGCAAAAATCACGTGCCCACTTGATTACATTGGGAGCGGGGTGAAATTCAATTTAAACCTGCGATCAGTTATTCCTTACTGCCCAATAGAAGCTCTGCCATCGACGTTTGTCAAGGAAGGATGTTGAGAAGTTGGATTATCCTATGCACTTTATGGGACAAAGGAGCAACAAGGCCTATGACACTGGGTCAGAGTGGTGGTGGAAGTAGAGGTCATTACATGTCGTGCTTGTTGCTGTTGGAGTTGATCGACTAACGTACGTCTTCCTCCAAAATGTAAATGTCCTGGCATCAAAATTTCACGTGCTGAGTGTTTGAATTCCTCTAACAAACAAGGTTGATTCATCGCAGATAAGGTAGTGGTAGTGTCTTGGTTGGTCGGTATTTCAAGGTTGGTCTTTGGAATGATTCGCTCAACGTATCTTTTTACACGACCGTCTAGTCCGACCATTTGTTTCTCAACATCACCGCTATCGCTTGGCTGCAATATGTTTGATATTAAATTCTTAACTGAAATATATTATAATTGGGAGGGAGGAAGAGGATGAGTACCTCCGATGATGATAAAGTAACGTCACTTTCTGAATAGCTTCCTGGGCAGAAAATTTTTTTCAAAATATCGTATGACGCGAGGACGAGTGGTGAGAGGATGAGAGACGCTAAGATGATGATGCCCACTAAAAGAATGCTGTCCCCTTGTCCCCCGTCTCCGCGGAAAAGATGCGTCTGCTTGCTCATTGTCGTTCGATTTCGATCCATTCGATCTCATTTCATAATCTGCTTGTTTCATGCGTACGGCTGAGTTTGGGATGGGATTGAAATCGAATCGTGCTGTTTTTGTGGTTCTATGTATAGAAGGTTATTCGTAACCCATTTTAATGGATGGAGGTGGATATAGGCGAGAAGAATTGTCGCACTCTAAAAGTATTTGCCAAACTCTTAAAGAACTAAATCCAAAGTGTGAAAGCATCTGCACGATACTTTTATTTTGTAATTTTTAGTGAAATATCTGCAAAAGAGGGAAGGAAACTCCTTACGACTTGTTCACAAATTATTGTCTGTGCAGAACAAGCTTATCACTGAAGAGTGTTTGAAACGAGGGGAGTAATTTGACTACAAGCTGAAAGAAGTTCGAGAAGCCGAAAATTCGTCTGAAATATATGTCGAATTGTATACTGCAAATTGTAGTAGAGTACTGACAAACAGAGACTGGGTACTGGCAGAGATCAGGAAGCGACGATGACATTTCTAGGAATGGATTCGAGTTTTTATGTTTTGACGAAATGAGACGACGAATGAAATGGATATGATTAGAAATACAAGAGCTCAGGATTAGGAGAGATATGTGCGAGATGAAAGGTATGCAAAATAGCAAGTGTTTTTTAGGAGATTTCATTTTGCGTGCTTGTGTTTTTGTGCCTTGTGTATTAAAGGTGAAAGCTTGTTAATCGACAAAATTTGATTCAGAATTATGTAGGAAACAATTATAAGAATGCATCTTTTAGAGATATTAGTTTAAAAAACCTACAGCGCAGACTTACAGCATTGAATCATGCATATGAATGTAATAGCAAAATTAGTTTTCAAAGAGTAATGAGCCAGATAAGTAAAAGATTTTTCGTAGCTTGCGTAGACGAGTCTACTGCATGGGCGGATGACATCAATAATTTGTTTATTTTCCAGTTTGATCACAATCTCCTATCGTTGGGCTTTTAATAATAAGTATTACATTTAGATTAATTTGAGTCCTTCAGTAGTAAATACTTACATATGTGTAATACCATCTTTAAATCTAAAGTGCTTTAATAATAATTACATGCAGTTTGTAAAATGATAATAATAATAATTTGATCTTAATTATGCCTCATAATAACGAGAGAAATTTATACAAACTGTGAAAGTAACAAAGAAAAATTACTCATTAGAATTATGCACCATACTTCTTAGCATATTATGTAGCACAATTACGTAATAATATTGAAACTATCTGCAATTTTGTCAGGTACATTTAGCACTTATGCGACAGAACTTAATACATTACACAAAAGGGACGAATCGTGTAATTCATACGTATATATCTATTTAACTCGAGTATTTGGTATCCCTGTGGACATACTTTGCTAGTCAGAAATCAGGGACACTGCCACGTCTCAACTTTTTTCCCTTAATCGCCCCAGTTTCGAATCGTTCCATGGCTCTGCCGATCGATCCAGTGCAAACTCCTCCCCACGTGAACTTATCAAACTTATCTGCCGTCTTATCCGGACTGCTAACCGTGGAAGACTCAGATTTGCCCTTTCTTCTTGCCTCTGGGGACTTGCTTTCTAAATTGACACTGTTGTTATTGATCGTCAAGAAATTCAGAGGGTTGTTATTATTCTTATTGCAACTGGGAGACCTATTCCCACCGTTGTTGTTGTTGCTATCACTATTCTCTTCCAGACTTTGTGACTGAGAGAGGCTGCCCTTTGCGAGGACTGATTTGGGAACAATGGCTGGATCAGGAGGAAATATCTTAATGGCAACAGCAGCCGGCTCAAAACTTATTGGTTCCGACTTGACCTTTGAGGATTTTGTTGGCATTTTGTTGCAATTTATTTCATCAGATGATGATAATAACGATGATGAGAGAGTGTTTGTGGAACTTTTTGTCGACGTCACTTCAGAAGGCATATGAAGAATTTTATTTGGGGCGATGTGCAGCGTCACGCTGGGAACTCGGTCCACTGTCACGCCAGATTTATTGGGAATTCGTTTCTGCAAAATTTGTTCTCTGATCGATGTTCTAGGTTTTGGGGGAGCTCTTGGAGTTGGCGGATTGTTGGCGATCTTGGCCCTCGTTGATGCTGCAGTCGTTCTATTGTTGGTGGCGGTGGTATTGTTCCTCTGCTGAATGGGTTGTTGTGGGGTTATTTTTCGTACCGGAGAAGGTTGGCTTGGCTTTCGGACTTTTGGGTTCACATCGTGAAGGAGAATAAAGGATGGGCGTTCTCGTGGAGAAAGTCCTTTGGGAATCACCTTTCCCTTATTCCCCACCGCCGCCGCTCGCGCTGAAGTGTTTGTACTGCCCCCTCCTCCGTTGGAGTCTGGCGTTGCTGTCGATCCTCCATTATTGGCGGGGTCAGATTTTGTAGTGCGATCTAAATCGGTGGAAGCAACAGGAGAAGACGAGCAAGTTACTTTAGTGGCGCCCACAATAATATTCTCCGGTGATTTCGAGTTGGAACGTTCTCCACTCGATTTTCTGTGAAAAGCTGAAGGATTTGTTGTGTCAATTGTGGGACTTTTAGCATTTAATTTCATTTCGTTGTTCTGAGAATTTTTCAATATCGACTTTTTGGGTACTTTCGCCAAAGAAGAGATTGTGTGTCTTGTGCAATTTCCGGGAATGCTTCCTCGTCGCGATGACGGAGCGGAAGGAGGAGCAGGCAGAATGAGATTTGTATTTAGTTGGTAATTAAGATTGTGATGTTGGCTACTAAAATTGGGTAGTGACGAATAATCCATATTGCTATTGCTCGTATTATTATTGATGTGATGAGTTGTTGGAGTTGCAGACTTTTTGAGAATGCCTTTTAATCGAGGACCGCTTCCATTTTCAACCCCACGCAATTTGGGAGGAGAACCACTGTCCCTTCGACCACTTTGAGGAGTGGGCCCTTGAGTATCGCTAGTTGCTCCATGTCTTGCACTCACTCTCGCTGCCCTCATTTCATCCCTGATTTGCTGTGAAGACCGTGAAACTCGCTTGTTGACCACGTCACAGTCGGACTTTGACCTGACGGACGAGGATGACTCTTGCTCATTGGATGATGAAGAGTTCATTGAAAAGTGGCCAGATTCTGCAGACTTTGGTTCCTTGGTGGTGGGGATGATACTGCTCACACCACTCGTGCTGTTGTTATCAGAACAGTCGCCGAGTGAAATTGTCGTCTCCTCACTCCCATCAACTTCCAGAATGGGTTCAAACTGGTTCTTTAAGTCCAGCTTTTTCCCATTTGCACTATTTACATTTGGAACTCGGCCACCAAAGGTCATGATGAGTTCTGCCACAGATTTTTGAGATTCTAGCTCCACGGCGGTGAGTCCTGACGATGAGCCATTTTGTACATCATCATCAACATCCTCGCTATTTGTGACCAGTGATGGATAGCCTGAAGCAGGAAGCAGGGTAGATCCTGCAGAGTCAAGACTTCCAGCCATGTTCATATGGTTTACAGGTGCGGACAAGTCGAAATTAGGGATGGGAGGAGTGTTTGGCACTGAGATTGATGGCGCCAGGGGGTTGTTTGGAACGACAAAGTCATCCATCATGCATTGTTGGTTCCAGTCAAGTTCATACTGGGTCGTCGTAGCGGCAGCAGAAGTGCAAGTGGACACCACACTTATTACGGATTCTTGGCTGGTGGCTGATTTCATGCCCAGGTCCAGACTGGGAAAGTTGGCGACACTGCATGTTGATATCGTTTCATTTATAAAGTTTCTGGGTAAGTCTATAGTTTTTACATATCATAAACTATTGCAAGTTGCTTACCTGGCCCAACGAGCCGACCCTGGCAAGTTATTGTTGATTTTTTCACAACTCTTGGAAAGTTGAATCTGTATGAAGTGATCATAAAAAAAATATTTCGTCAGCCTTCAGTCAATTTTCTTGTACATAAATAATCGAAGCAATAAAAAGTAATCTATGTATATTCAAGCCGTCTGTACGCACTTTACTCTCCCAAAGTTGTTCTCTGCTTTTGCTTAAATTTTTCCTCAGCTTCCAGTTGCCTCCGACACTGTTGTCACCCGAAGCCATTTTCATTTTCTCAATGAGAGCCTCCCTGGACTTGGTCTTTCCTCCCATTTTGTTCAAATCATACGCAGATTTGCACGCTCTGAGGATGGATCGTGCGGATGGGCGTCGCCCGGCCGCCGAAGCCGTGCTCATCCCTGCTAACGCCATCGTCTTCCTTGGAGCTGAAATCGATTAATTGTTACGTAATATTCATTCTCAGCACAAGTATTATCATAAAAATTTAGTCGTGTCCTATTTACATCGTTTCTTTGGACCACTGTGGTTGATTGAACTGAAGTGTTGCGCCACTTCCGGCTCCAGTTCAGGTTCACAGGGCGGAGTTGGTGGGAGGACTTCGGGAATAAAGGACGTCAACCAGTCATGTTCCTCCATTTCGACAGGGGTAGGCCGCAACCTGCACATTTACATATATTGATTATTGATGCAGCACAGTTCACATGCAAATTGAGGAGACAGAAGATAGAGGTAAGAATAGTGTCCAATATGTGAACTCACTTTGCATTTTTTACGGCCAATTTAAGAATGAAGTCAATGGCGGAGGGACTGATGTCTTCAAAGAGCTCTTCAGGAAAGTCAATTGGTTCGTGTACGATGTTTCTGAATGTTTCTTGATCCGTGTCACCTCCAAATGGGCTTTTATAAATGCAAGATCAGATAGATGCCAAAGGGGAGACGAGATGAGATGTATTTATTTATACTGTATTTATGCATACCTAAATCCTGTGAGAAGGACGTAACAAAGTATCCCGACGCTCCACATGTCAGCCGATGTGGATAATGGTTCATACAGCAGGATTTCAGGGGCTAAAACAAAAGTCTTTATCAAAAACTTTGTGCATATTACAGTTAGGAAAATAGGCAATGGTCACTTATTGTTAGTTATTCGTAATTCTACTTTTCATCATTGGACATCATTCGAAATGCATATTCATGTTAAGCACGATTTATGTTATAACAATATTTTAAGCACATTAGGCATTTAAGGTACGTTCTGATTCCAATTAGTTCCTCAATTTGGTGAGACACACGTAAAAATGTAATACTTAAGATAATCCGTTTACTGACCCACGTATTCTGGCGTCCCAATAATCTCTTTGACTTCCTTTCCGGGCTTAATTGCAAAAAGAGAAAAATAAAATAAAGTCTATTCGTGGCTTGTTCCTGGTTTTTAGCCTTCCGTTGTGTTAGCTTACCTTAATTACTCGAGAAATCTTTGGTGATTAATCACGACACATGAAATGAAAAGAAATACAACGTTAATGATAATGTAAAGATCACATCATAAATTGTCACACTTTGCTAGTTTTTGTTGCTATCATTTCAACCGTGATAAGCAGACCCATGGGTTAACGAATCTCAATAAATTGCATGCAAAGTGAAACTATGAATACATACACGCTGGAGGTATGCACAAGTACTTAATTTTAATTCTGATGACCTATATATCAATACTGACGTTTGATCTCCGCATGTTCAATTGACAGAGACGATACATTTAAAAAACGACACTTGTTTGTTCACATATTCCTTAATTTTTAATGAATTAAAGACGTACCTCGAAATCACAGAGTTTTATTTCACAAGTGGGAAATTCTGTGAGTAAATTATTACACATTAGTTAGCATAGTCATGTTTTTCTAAGAAAAAATCAATTCCATTTCTAGAATCACACTTACCTCCCATGAGTAAAAGATTTTGCGGCTGTAATCAAAAATTCATTTTAATATCCACGCGGTCATCTCATAACAATTTGAAACCCATGATTATGTCAATGACTATGACTTAAATATGCTTATGCTACCTTAATATCCAAATGAGCAATGTTCCTTTCATGGAGGTATTTTAGAGCCTCCAAAAGTTGAAAAATATATCGCGAAGCATCCTTCTCCAAAAGCACCAAATCTGCATCAATTACCTAATTCGCAAATAATAACAGAAATTGTATGTATTCATGTATGACCTCATTGGCCTTCCAGTTCAACATTCATAGCCTAATACCCTATTTTACTTACCGTTTGGAGATCACCACCGGGGGCACTGCGGGAAAAAATTATCATAAATTATAAGTCGGCAGGCAGACTGGTCAACATATATATTCGTCGCCATAATATTTGTATCAACTACATTAATATCCAATAAAAACAAGGCTCTTCTGAATGTGATCTTAATACGTATGTAGCGTGCACTAGTCAAGCATCACAAAATTCAGAAGGATGAGAATAATCTACTGGAATTGTATTGTACATACATGTATGTACTACTGACTCAGAATTACTTCACCAAAAATTTGATTCCCGCTTCGTACCCCTACCATACTAATAGCATGGGAAGGATACCAGCGCGGGATGGAAAAGAAAAACTGAGTTGATATTAGTTAGGGTTTATGTAACTAGACTATTGACTGTTCAAGGAGATGAAGAAATCCGTAAACAACAATCAGGGAACGATAAATAAATAATTGGTAGCTGATGATTTGGGTGTGTTGAACTTACAGTTCCATGATGGTGACGGCACAGTCTTCCAAAATGAAGGCATCAATAAACGAAATGATGTAAGGATGCTTCAATTGACTTAATAGAGCGATTTCGTGAAGATTTTCGATGCACTCTTCATCGAGGGATTGTCCAGGACGTTTTCTGGGACAGAATTTTGCGGCGTAATATGAACTGGTGATCAGACTTTTGCATCGCTTCACTTGGGCATACAATCCTCTACAAACAAAGACGAGAATTAATTGTGGTTCACCATTTTCCGTTTGAACAAAACCGTGAATAGGAGGATCCAATGGACACATTCAAATTAAAATAAGTTGATTTATGTACATGCATAAGAATTGGGAAGAGAGAAATTGAAGAAATATGCAAAATGAAAAGGGTCTGCTTACGTGGCGAACGGAGCACCTTTGTCCATTCTGTACAAACTGTTAATGTCGCCCTTGTTGATCACTGCCTCCTGATTCAAGAGCAGCATCCCACGACTGTCGCAACTTGTAAAACATTTTGGACTGGAGTCCGCCTGAGATTCCAGCTTACCAAAACCACACTTATTTACGACGACCATTGTTATTTATCAATTGTTATTTTGATGGGTTCATCCAACACAAAGCATCACTTATTTAAATAACTGGGGTGAATCCATAGGAGCAATAACATTATCTGAAAGTATGAAAGTGAACCCATTATAATATTTCCACTCGTCTTTCAGCACTGGAAACACTGTTTAGCGATTCCAACCATTAAGTAATTGCATAAATCCAATCCTCAAATGTGACAGAAGTAATTACTGCGTAGATATCGGAATTTATTTTCAGAATTTAAACGCACGAGCAGAACTCTGAGATGTGTAGTCTATTGGAAATGTGTTCCATTGCGTTCCAATCCAAGTTCTCGTGTGATGAGAGTGGTAAAAAGTTGAACAATTGAGAATTTGTAATGATGTCTCCAATGAATGAATGAATCAAAGATCAATGAAAAGGTGTGGGCGATGATTTGCAGATGTACTTGTGATTTGCCTCAGTCAGCACTTCTTGTATAGTCATGAAGCCTTCTTGGAAATGGTAAAAATCTGCAGTGATAAATCTCGTGTGAACTTGTAATATTTTTATGTGAACAACTTTGTTACATATACGACATGAGTATTTTTTATGTTTTTAAACTCACAATCGCACTACTACAAATGTGTATGAAGATACTTCAAGACGTGCATTTGTTATTTTCACTGTAAAATTGCAAGTCATTTCTGAGCTCAAGTGTTTAAGAACAACAAAAATGGAGACACTTTTTAGACTAGAGACACAACTACATACATAACTTGAAAACTGCTTATTGTCGTTTTGTCACGTAATAATTAACTCCAGTTAATTTGGCAAGAATGAGCGTAAGCCAACATGGCGTTTGGTTTTCTTGACTGGTTGGCTTATGTAAAAGTTGTGTCCAGCTCGTAGCCTTGTGCGTCTGGTCTGTATATTTTATAAATATGTAAATCCACGGAACTTAATCGGAGGAGTCTTTTTCAATTTTAAAAGTAATTCTAGTCACAGTTTCACTGACACGAGAGATGAGTCTCATCTCATCACAGTGTGTATTTCCTACTAGTCATTGATGTTTTTTAAATTGATGCAGAAAATCCAATAAATATTTCCTCGAAATGTTAAATTGCGTAATGTATGACCAATAAATTCACTAAAGTCTAAAGAAAATGATCTTGGTCGTGCGTGGTCACTGCGCGATAGGACCAGAACAAGTCCACAACTGACTGAGGTCCAAAGCTCATGATGCAGCCAAAGAGCCAACCCCAACTCTGCCGACCATTCCAAGTTTGTAACAACTCACTGGTCGTTTGCATGGGTAATTTTGTGTTTGTACCTCTACAATATTTTTATTCTTTCAGACAGTCCACAGAGATTTGCTATGCTCGCGAAGAAGCATAATTAGGGAACGATCGTGCTATATTTACAAAGGTTTCGTAGATTTGTGCACCAGAGGTTTGAGACAATCGGGATTTTACCAACTGCTCAAAATCGTGTGCATGCTCATGAATGATCACTTGTAAATGTCTGGAATATTTGATCACGGAATATGTGAATGTTTTGAAATCAACTACGCGTAGGTAAGTATGCAGCAAGTGGTGGTAATGAAGCAGAGAGATAGATTTAACATTTGGCCTAGGCAACAGGGCAGGTAAGCCTGACTTGGCTTTGGTTGTCGTCCTTGCCAAGTCCATTTTTGGAGATTCTTCTTTCCAAGTTCTCCCTCGAGCCTTCATTTATTTCACTTCAAATTATTCTCTCGATGCTAAACTGTGGAGTTTCATATGTGGCAGTGGACACATGCATGCTCTGACACTGGCAAAAATTCCTTTATAATTTTATAATCAGCAACATTCAACATCAAGTAAGTAGTGGATGCGACTGCATGCATATGTATGTACTTACAACAATCGTCCTCCGCTCTCGTCAGTCATCGTCATCGTCAAATCTGTAATAAGCTCGGTCAATTTTACGTAGGTTGACTCAAACGCCAAGTCAAAAGTATCAACTACGTATGTACATATGCACGTAAATTACTATGTACAAGTAGGCTGGTTGGTTGTGGGTTATTTGCTAAAGATTATTATTGTTGTTGTTGTTGTCGTTGTAATATTCTACAGAACTGCATAATATGTTAGAAGCAATTGTCAACCTTTGCGGCTTACTTTGACAAGAAGAAGTGTTCTAAGGTTGCATTGTGTCATTGTAGGTTTGGTGCTAATTTTAATTCGCAATTCTAATATGATTGCGATCTCTACGGAAGTCGTCGTCTGTTCATTTCATTCGTATAAATTAAAAAATGACAATAATTATATGCCACACATATGTATTCTCTCACCTTATAAAATTACATGCATGACGAGTCCAAGAAATTGATTGAAACTGACATCGGACTCGTCAATGTGTGTTGAAAAAAATCGAACCAATCGTGCTGAAAGGTTAACAAAACATTCTATGCATTTTGAACCCAGCGACACAGGTCAAGCCACAAAGGGTTTGCCTCGTAGATGTGCACATATCTAAATAAATAGATGATAATCAAACCCAATAAAGTAATCGATGAATTTGCATAGAAAATACGATAGCCAAATATACAAAAGTGAATTTGGCAATAAAAATAAGAAAATAAATGATAAAATACGATTAGTCCGCTTTTTTATTCGCATGTTGAAACTTTTCTGCTTGCTACATACAGTTGAACTTGTCCTGCATTGAATCATTTATGCGAGAACAGGCGTTCACAGGAGGAAGCGAATTTAAATTCTGTTCAGGTTTCTTTTGTCGAATTGTTTCTCTGCCCACCTGAACCAGCGATTAGCTCGGCAACATGTCCTGAATCGGGTTTGGCATTTTCAACCACCACCAGCCTTCAGTTCTTCCATAAAATATAATCATCGCCACTGAACGAGTCCTGAAAACTTTCGAAACTTTGCTGCTACGGATTTGTCTCTTGCTTGAATAATTCCCAAGCCGATCATCACCGCCTTTTCCCTCATTAGGAGCATGGATTTTGGATTCACGTTCTGTTAACTAAATGGATTACTCTTTGCCGATTTCGGTATTGTTCATGAATCACTCTCATATTTTTGAACTCCATATTTCAATATTCCTGTTTGGCTATCGTGCCAAAATCAGGAGTTGCAGCAGCAGGATCACACAGAGCGCACGACGAATGTAATCTCGACCAACCTTTTTTATATTGATGCACATGCAATAAAGGTTTCTTTTCTTGTAAACAAATGTGACACAAATGGATTATCATCCTGAATTATTCCGCCTTGATGCTTCAACATGCTGAAGCTACACAGCATGCATAATCTTTTCTTATGTATTTGCATTGTCCACCATTATCCTCGACCCTTAGACAATGCACAAGCCATTGAGGAAAAGCGAACCAAAATCCTGGTTCAAGTTGTCACAAGTTGTGCACTGATTAAGGCATTAAATTGTTTCGGGCCACTCGCTATACACAAGATGAACTAAGGATCGACTAAAAATCGACCATGTTTCCAACTTTGGGAGGATGATGTTTTCAATTGGGTTCAATTTTACTGAAACTGATGTAAAATTATCATAAAATGCAAATTCTGTTAAGACTCAAAGTAATAAATTATTCGAAGCAATGTGGGTTGAAGAACAAACATGTCGCCTGGTTGACGGCGAGCACCAAGCGGACCTTATTATTTGCTGGCAACAGGTGAGGATGTCGACATTACATGGTCGATACTCCATAATGACGACAATTATAGTAACACAGCACCAATCGTTAGATATACGTGTTCAGACGTTATTTACAGTGAGTGGGGGTGGATAATCCGTCGTTGTCGCCGCCGTCGTCTGCGCATCGGTAACTTATTGGAATTTCCTTCACAATGGAATATTTATTATTCGCACAATACAGTGTGTAATGGAGTATGTAATAATCGTACTGTTTCTAAGTGTTAACTGCTAAAGTGTTAATTGTCCTTGTTTGTTTGTTTTTGATGATGCTTGGAGAATAGACCTTGTGGTTTTTAGCAAGTTTTATTCCTTCCCATTTTTGCCTAGCTCAGGGTGAATTTGACTAAATTTGAGATGACCGACGACGGCTTGCTTGACAGCCGTACATTGCATATTATCCTTTTATTATGGTTAAATCTGAAAAAATGCAATGTCCATGGTCATGTTCACGTCCACCCGCTTTTAAATATTTTACCACATTGCCAAATTAAAAAAATAGTAAGTCTAAAGTACTAGCTTAACTTGCAACATGTTGACCAAAGATTATTTTGAAATTGGAAACTGCAGTGAAACAAGTAATCTCATCTATAATGAATGTATGTACATGCACTAATCTATGTGTGTCACCGCAACATTCACAAGTCCAAAAGTGCCAAGTTGTCTGCACTCTTCACGCCCCGACCAGTCTGAAATGGGTGTGGTGTAGGTCAAGTTATGCGTGACCTGCACACGAAAAGCTATTACCCACCCGCAAATGCCCTGCATCCATCCACACAAAGGGTAAACTTTTCAATGGTTATAGCTCAGAAATTCCAAACGGAAGTAATGAGGCTGAAGAATTTGCAATGTGCATCTTTGGTAGTCAGTTGGAGTTTCAAATGCAATTTAAGTGATTACAATTGTCCCATGAACGGTCATTTCGATATGAGACCGTTATTTTTAGAGTGGGAACAAAGACTCGTAAGTGGCGTTGTCCTTACTGCGTGGTCAGCAGTTAGCGAGAACTAAAAAAGATTCAAATGGATTCAATTTTCTACAAGCAGAGAATAAAAATTAGACGATTTTTCACTTTGAACAACAAAGCAGATTCGTCGTCAGTCATCATCCATGCCCGTTTTTGGAGCAGTTAATCTTTCAACAATTATTCAAGATGGAAATACAATTCCCATTCACCATCAAAGCAGAACACGTACGTATTTACGTGGCAAAGTGGCTTATTGTTGTGGGCCAAAGCAACCATTTACATGAACACTAATTAATTAACCCCCTCGAACACAATTCTCAATTTGCTGAAGAGGTCATCACAATGAAGAAAATTTATGGAAATAGTACAGTTGAAAGATGTGCATATATGCATGTGTAGATCCTGTGAGTGAAATATTTATATTGAAACCAACGCCAATCTGATATTCGCATCTCGAAATCATTTATCCAAAACTATCAATTTGGAGAAAGTCAATAAAACTGTAAATAATTCAGTCGTGAATCATGGAAATTATGGCAAATAATTCTGGTCAATCAGGTTCGTCGTAGCAGAACACATACGTAGAGAATATGTAGTTGAGATTAGTTTGGTAATCTTATTATGGTTGCTTAAATGATCCTCCTCCATTATTTTGCCGTTGTCTCAATGAAAATAATTGTATGTTCTGAAATCTTTTAAATCGAAAAATCCATTTGCGGAAAGTGGTTAGATCTACAAATCAAAGTATAAGGAAATTAAATCTGCAATTGCTTTTCGTAAGTATTGGGATATTTGTGTGTACCCCCAGGCACGGTTGTGATGCTGATCCAACTTTATCGGGACTTTTTATGGTCTGGGTATCATCAACTCATCATCATCAGAATTTTATCGGCTTATCATATCACATCTCTGCAATCAAACTTGTCGAAATGAGACACTGCCACCGCCAACACCACCAGACAAATATGCAAATGAGATGTGCGTGATTCAATTTACAATGTGTTGTCTATATTACACTTTTTCATACTTTCAATTTGTGGGTGTTTTCTTGCACATTAGTTTTTGTCGTGAAAGCAGACAGTTTTTCAACACCATTGACGTGTATGTGTACAGATGAGACCTGCGAGGGGTGTAGCTTGAAGTATGTACAACGCCGTTATTTATTTGCTCCACGTTACACGTTTTGAATGAGCTGAATGTTTTTAATTCTGTCGGAATTAAACAAAAAAAGCATGATACCCGAGCAATTTGATACGCAATTTGTATGCAGAAATACGAACGATATCAAATCACTCGTTAATTGTTAATGGAGAATTTGTAATAAAAATATGCAAAAATTGTCCATGTGAACCTTTATGTATGTAACGAATACTTACAATTTTAAGCAGAATACAATTACGAGGGTGTAATACATAACACAGAGAAATCTAAATGGCATCCGTCTGCTTCCAAATAAAGAATACCGAAACTTCAATGTCTTAATGGCGGTTGGGCATGGTTAGCATATTCATTTTTGGACACTTTTACATCTCAAGTATTCGCCGTTAAATGTTGGAGTTGTTATCTTTTAGCTGTGTTGG